GTGGATATCGATCGCTGTGAACAAGTTGTGAATGCGTAGAACACAGTAACCGTGCGTAAACTACGCTTCGACAATGACCTGTTTATACAAGTAAAATGCGGTAAATATTTCATGCCATATACAGTTTACCTCTCAAAAATGGCTAGTTACTAGTTTTTTGGAAAAACTATGTTGTTTATTCGCTGAAATCAATTCCAAGAGATCGTACTTCGACATCGATAATTCACTTCCGCATTGCGTTACCGGAAAGTCTTCGGGAATTTTCGAAGAATTGCGTCAGTACAACACAGCATTGTGATTGGTTAATAACCAACTTGACCCATTAGGTCAAAGGACGCCACTGCAGATGAAATCTGCAAATGCATCATGGCGGAAAGTGATTTTCATCGAGAGTTTGCGTACGATCCAACACCTTCGTCAGTGAAGATAATATGACAATTTTGACTTTGACTGTGTTCCTACAGACTCAAATGTTTTTAATTTCGTAAATTCTGGTGGTATGTAATTAATATTTTAATAAAATGTGCATATTTGTTGTGATCATTTCTGTTTCTTCATTGTGAAAATCAATGACGACTCAACTAATTTCGTAATTTGATTTCCCTCAAAGACGTAATCTGTCACTTGATGAATCAAATTTTTCATTTGCATTCTTTTTCGAGGGGGGTGCTCGGGTAAGCGCCCACCCCTAAAAAATCTTGATTTTCTGAGTTGAGGCCCCTGGGCGCTAACGCGGTCGAGTACGGTATATACGTAATATCAAAGCAATTGAACTATTGGTTTTTAACAAGAAGTCGAAAATATCACTTTTTACCAAAAATGACAAAAATATTCACCAAAATTTGACAATTGAAGATAACATTACAAAATGAACAAATCAGAGAGAGGTCCACAAGTAGTACCTATATATGTAATATCAAAGCAATTGAACTTGCGGTTTTTAACAAGAAGTCAAAAATATCACTTTTTACCAAAAATCACAAAAATATTCACCAAAATTAGAGAATTAAAGATATCATTACAAAATGAACAAATCTGAGAGAGGTCTACCCAAGGTACATATACACCAAGTATCAAAGCATTCAGGCTTGTAGTTTTCAAGAAGAAGTCGAAAAAGTAAAACATTGACACGGACGACGACGGACGACGGACAATCACTCATATGATAAGCTCCGCTCGACAAAGTCGACAGCGGAGCTAAATATCAATGTTGATGAACGACAAATAACAATAACATGAACATTTCTGTTCTGGTAGCTTTGATATCATGACATGATAAAGTTAAACTGACCTACCTTCATTTGTAACTCAGTTACAAAAGAGATAATACCAGAATTACAATGAGCAAAGTTGAAACCTTCTGCCAGGCGTACTCTGATTAACAAAACATACAAAGGCATATCGTTTATTGCATAAATGTACCTACTTTTCCATTCAAATTTTCTATTTTCTATAAACAAAATTCATTTCAAAAGACACAATAATGATATTATTAATACAGCACATGACATCATACATTACAGACTATCTTTCAATGAGAAGTAGTAACATATTACTTTGGTTATATATCTGTTGGTCATTTGGAATAACAAGTAATAGAAAGAATCTGGATATACCACATTTAGAGGTCAAATATAATTAAAACAAGTTAGTGCACTTACTTGGTTAAAGTTGACAATACTTTAGAAATAGCTTGCATAGAGATCTGTACAGAGGTGCCAGTATGTGCAGACCATATCCAGCGCTGATGGTACATATACTTTGATAATGTATTGAACAACGTTGCAACCGCCTTGTTACGCCTTGACTGTGACACTGACAATGTGTTTTCAGGCTCTCTAACATGAAGTGTACTAAAATCCATTGGCATCTTTTCATATCTACCAACATAAGATAAATCAACAAGCATGATTATAATTTTCTAAAAATCAGCAAAAACTGTAAATAGATCACTAATGAAATAATATTTTCTTGAGAATTTAAAATAAATTATTAATGCTACCCTCAATCACAGGTTAGTTCTATCATCCCCATATACAAATGAAGACATTGTTGGTTTTTCGCATAATGTCAATTCAATTGGGGAAAGGTTGGAGATAGATTGTTGTATCTTGGATCTCTATTATAGAAGACAAGGTGTCCCAAACAAATTACATCTTACCTTACAAGTATGTCTTCTACTGGTTTATTTAAAAGTACAACACATGGTTTTTCAGAGATACTTCGCTGTAGTGGTGGTCTTGAAGTCGTTCCCACTACTGTCCCAGACGACTTCTTCTTTGCTTCAGTCTTCACAGAAGGTTGGTTCGCTCTCTGTGGCAATGTTAGATCAAGTAACTTCTCTTTCATTGCTCCAACAATCTGGAAATTAAACAAAGCTTTCAATAATCAACGATACTGGACAGAGAAAGCTTGAAAAGATCAAGAATCCATTTTTTGCTTATTTGGACCAAATATAACAAGTTTTCAGCAATAAGTGAAAAATAATGCAGAAATATTTCATGAATAAATAGTAATTAAACATTGCATACACTGACAAAAGTTTGACTAAATAGGGCAAAGGATAATATATTGTTCTAGTGCCAGAATATGCACAACATTAGCTGTATTAATCTGAAGGTCCATTACAGAAAGTACAACATAAACTGCATCAATTGAAGGTACACAAACCCAGGGGTACACCCACCCATGGTTCACTCAGCCTTGATATACCCACCCAAGGTACACCCGTCCAAGCTACACCAGCCCAAGAAAAGTCAATGACTCATATTGTAGGAAACAATTGTTTTGCTTTTATGTGAGTCCATGACAACTGAAATTTACCTGATTCCTTTCATGTGCAGGGGTCCC